GTTTTGCTGTACATGAACATGGAATGTCTTTCTATTTATTTAGTTCTTCTTTGATTTCATTCATCAGAGTTTTGTATAGATCTTGTGCATATTTTGATAGATTTACACCTAAGTCTCTCATTTTTTTGGCTGCTAACGTAAATGGTATTATGTTTTTAATATGAAATTCCACTTGTCCATTTCTGGTATATAGGAAAGCAATTGACTTTTGTATATTAACTTTGTATCCTGCACCCTTGCTATAATTGCTTTAGTTTCAGGAATTTTTTTGGTCAATTCTTTCCAACCTTCTACATAGAAAATCATGTCATCTGTCCCCTGCTTGATTTTTAATGATTCTATTAACTATATAAAAAAAATATGCCCTCTTGTACTTCAAATGAAGGAGTAAAGTTACAAATTGATGATGTCCTTAAACCTATCTCATCAGGAATGGAAAGAAGAGGTTTTCCTGATTTGCAAAAAAACCCAATTGTTTCAGTGATATAACAAATAACTGAAGTCTAATATTGTTTATGAGTCCCAAGGGCCCAGAATGTGTTTTTAAAATATATTTTCCCACTAAAAGAAACCAAGTCCTTTGGGGAAATGGCTGATTCCAGTTTTGGAATCATCTGAGCCAAGAAGAACTTACGCCTGATAGCAGGAATGCAGGAAGGAAGCTATTAAAGATTACTAGGATTATGCCAAAAGGATCTGAAGCCAACTTGAAGAAGGCCATGTTGACGAAAGATGCACAATTTGAGCTTCAATAAAGATAACTGCAATAGGCTGAAATCTATAAAATGTCTAAATCCATTAATTCATAATGACACTTTCAAAAACCAAATTAATCAACATTAGAATATAGTAGGAAGCTATTATTTTGAAAACTGGTAAATAAAGAGGGAATTAAGAATTTATTTATGTTCCCTGTATAAATGGTAACACTGGATAACAAACTGTAGTTGAGGGAAGCAACTGGTAATAAATAAAAAAGGAATGATGGAATAAGAATATCACCATTTTGTAACTCCCAAGGAAGTAACAGATATCTAGACATTGATCATCATCGGCTGCAAACATTACAGACAGAGACAATCAGAATTTGTGATTCATGATGAAAGAATATGGTCTTACCAAAAGAACTTAAACTGAGTCTGATCAAGACACTTGATTTTGCCAATTTGCAGGAAATTCAGATGACAGGGAAGCATGTTGAACTGTACCATATATATGTAATGACAAGATCCAGACAGTGGAAATTCTACAGGTCAAATTTTCCAGTTCTATGATAGATAAATTATACGGAAAAGAAAGAGACAGAGGTAAAACTTAAAGACTAAGAGAAACTAAAAAAATCAAATAAATAAAAATGAGCAAGATTAAAATATTATATTAGGGATGCACACTTGGTTGATAAAGCTATAAAGAAATGCAGTGAAGTAACTACTATATAGTGAGGGTAGTGATTACTCTTGGGAGATGGAGTGTACTGTGACTGTAACAGGACATACGGAGGGGCTTCTAGTATGGAAAAGTTCTATTTCTTAATCTGGGAGGTGGTTTGAAGAGTGTTCACCTTATAATAATTTGTTTTGTATGGCTTCTATATCTGTATTAAATTTTACAATTAAAGTGATAATTAAGGAAAAGTAAATGGACAAAATACTACAATTAAAAGAAAAATATTTTCAGAGTGGATACAGAAAAACAAGACCCCAAGTAAAAACTGTTTACAAAAAGCGGACTAAACAGAAAGATTCAGATAGGATGAAAAAGTTATACCATGCAAACACTAATGAGAAAGTTGTGTGGTGTTATTGAAATTAGACAAAGTATACTTAGGGCAAGAAGTATTATGAAAGAAAAAAGGGTCTTTTATCATAACACAAGGATCAATTTGATGGAAAGATATAACAATCTTAAATTTGTATGCACTTAATAATGTATTTTCATATATATATAAAAAGCAAAAGTTGACAGGAATAAAATAAACTTTAGTCTAATCCACAGTCACATGTTTGGAGATTTTAACACACTTTTCTCACTAAGTCATTAAATAACCAGACCCCCCACCCACCCAAAAACAAGTAACATTATAAAAGACTTCAGCAATATGATTAACCAACTTGACCTAATTGACATATATAGAACACATATTCTTTTCAAGTGCATATGACAAAGATGCCAAAGTGGAACATATTTTTGGCCACGGAACAAGTCTCAACAAATTTTAAAGGATTAAAATATATAGTGACTATTTTCTGAGACTGTAAAATTAAATCAGAACGCAATAACAAAAACATAATGAGAATATGATCAAATGTTTGGAAATTAAGCAACACATCTAAATGATACATAGGTTAAAATAGAAATTACAATGGAAATTGGAAAACTTTTGGCTTAATGATAAGGAAAACATGAGGTTAAATTTGGGGGATTTCGCTAAAGCAGTGTTTAGAGGAAAATGTAAAGTTTTACCCACAAATACTAAGAAAGAAGAAAGTCTGGAAAATCAACAATATAAGCCAAAACTTCTCAAACATTTTGGTCACAGGATCCCTTTACACTCTTAGAGGCTTTTGAAGACTCCAAAAGCTTCTGATTATATCATATGATAGGTCATAAAACAAGTATTAGTGAGATTTAAAGGACTGAAATCATGCAAAGTATGTTTTCTGACCACAATAGAAGTAAATTAGAAATGGACAACCAAAGGAAATCTGAGAAATTCACAAATATTTGGAAATCAAACAGATTTCAAAATAATCCATGGGTCAAAGAAGAAATTACAAGAGAAATTAGAAAGTATTTTGATCTGAATGAAAATAAAATGTATGGGATTCAGCAAAGGTGGTCCTTAGAGGAAAATTTATAGCTTTAAATAACTATGTAAGAAAAGCAGAGAGATCTTAAATCAATAATTAAGCCTTTCCCTTAGTCTAGAAGAGTAAGAGCAAACCAAACAAAGGCAAGCATAAGGAAGGAAATAATAAAGATTAGAATGAATATTAAGAAACAGAAAACAGAAAAATGATAGAGAAAACCAATAAAACCAACAGTGGGCTCTTTGAAAAGATTGACAAATCCTTAGCTAGCCCAACCAAGAAAAAAGAGAGAAGACACAGACAACTAAAATTAGGAATGAAAGAGGATAACACCACTGACCTTACAGTAATTAAAAGGCTATTAAGGGAATATTATGAAGAACTTTATGCCAGAAATTTAACAACATACACGAAATAGACAGATTCTGGAAAGGACACAAATTGCCAAAACTGAATCAAGAAGAAACAGAAAATCTGGATAGTCCTATAACAAATAAGAAAATTGATTAAGTATCAGAAATCTTCTCAGTAAAAAAGGCCTAGGCCCTGATAGCTTCACTGGTGAATTATTTCAAGTATTTAAAGAAATAATATCAATCCTACACAAACTCTTTCAGAAAACAGATGTGGAGAGAACACCAATTCATTCTATGAAGCCACTGCTACACCAATATCAAAGCTAGACAAAGACATCACAAGACAAAAAAACTACAGTGGTGATGCCTTATAATGAAACTGGGAAGGAATGAGTTTTAGGAGGAAAATCAAGAGCTCAGATTTAGACAAATTAAGTTACAGATCATTTGAACTATCCAAGTGGAGATTGAAAATACCTATTAGATAAACCACCTAGAGATCCAAGGAGAGTTTTAGGTTAAGAATATATATCAGTGATTCATTATCACACAAATATAACTTAGAGATAAGAAAGTAGATAAGATCACTTAGGGAACCTCATTCTAAGCCTTGAGGTAGTTCTGCATTTTGAGAGAAGGTCCAGAAAAGCAGAAGAAGGGAAGTCTAGAGAGGGAGAAAGAAATCCTAAGTAGTTATAATCAGATTTACATGTAAGTGGATCACTCTGTCCACTTATGCAGAGTGGAGTTAAAAGTAACAAAATTATAGGCAGAGAGAGTTATCTAGCAGTCCAAGCAAAGAGGAAAAGAAATAGAAATAAGGGCAGTGATACAGGACTAAAGAGTAGAAATGGATTTAAGAAACACTTAGGAGTTTAAAATAGGCAATGTAAGGTAATTAATCAAATATAGGGTTTGGTGGGGGCAATGAGATAGGAAAAAGGATCAGTTTAAGAAGATGCTGAGTATTTAAGACTAAGAAAATTATGTTTGAACAGCCATTTGGGGTGACTGAATATAAATGTCTTACAAGATTTAGGATAAAATAGTTTGAAGATCAGGGGAAAAGACTGGAAAGAACACAAAATTTGGAAGTCTTCAGCAAACAGATGACGGTTAAAAGTGGGAGTTCGGAGCTGGCTCCGTGGCCAAGTGGTTAAGTTCGTGCGCTCCACTGCAGCGGCCCAGGGTTTGGATCCTGGGCGCGGACATGGCACCGCTCGTGAGGCCACGTTGAGGCGGTGTCCCACATCCCACAACTAGAAGGACCTGCAACTAAGATATACAACTGTGTACAGGGGGAGTTTGGGGAGATAAAGCAGAAAAAAAAAAAAAAAAGATTGGCAACAGTTGTTAGCTCAGGTGCCAATCTTTAAAAAAAATAAAAAATTAAAAAAATAAAAGTTTGAACTTTAAAAAAAATTTAAAAAATAAAAAAAATAAAAGTGGGAGTTCATAAAATCACTCAGGGAGAGCATGTAAAATAAAAGGAGCAAATGGTTCAGGGTTGGATTAGTTAAGGAATGAAGGGTTAGCGAGGATATGGTCACTTTTAAACTTAATCCATACAATTTTTATTCTACATTCCAACTACTTTCCCCAGACAAATATCCTGGCTTCTCTGTAAGTAACACTTGGTATCAACAAGGAAACATATTGATAACTTTAAATTTTAAAAAATGAGACAGCATTTCTTTTTACTTTAGGAATAAGTTCTATTCTAAGATACTCAGATTTCCTTTTAGCATCAAATAATTCTTATTTCAAAAATTCTCATATGTAATTTCACAAGCAAAGCTCTGCAAAAAGATTCAGTAATAACTACAGTGCTTACCATTAACTGGTAGGTTATCTGTTAGACTTTTAATCTCCTCTTCTGTGAGCTTGCTTCCCATCTTTTCTAGAACAGTATTGATTTTACATCTTTCAACTTTCCCTCCTTAGGAAAGAGACATAAAGAATAAGAAAAATTATTAAAATATGAGAAATACATTAAATATTAGAAATATATTAATGCTCTGTGTTACTATTTACTAAAAATGTTTTACTATTAAAATGAAACAAGGATAAGAAATAATATATTTTTCAGTACTATTTATGCTGCTTTTAAACATGAGTACCAAACTTTATTTTAATATTGTATTAAAGAACCTTAAACTTTGCCTTGGTGAAACTTTGGTCAAGAAATAATTTATGAAGGAGTTTTGCAACTTAAGCTAAAGACAACTAATCAAATTTATAGTAGGGAAGGGTTTTGAGAAAATTCTCAGTTGCCAGAAAATTTGTACTGGTTTCCAATGGAACTTTGAAATTATCCTACACCTGGTTTATCCATGCTGTGAAAACAGTTTATGAACATGGATTTTTTGGTGAATATTTTAAATAGAAAGCTATTTGTATTAGTAAAAACCAATATATAATAACTACTTGGGATGATATCTAAGAGGACTTTGGCTAGAAATACTCTGAAGTTGAAGCAAGAGCTGGAGCTGGGAGTGAATGGAGAGGAAAATTTATTATTAAAATCATAAAACAAGAGCCCCAGAAACCAGCAAAGGTATATAGATGGGGAAATAGGACTACAGAAAGACTGAGAAATCAAGATTCTGGCTGTCATTGCCCCATTTTCAATGTGACACTCCATTTAGTTGATAAAAACTAAAGTTGTTATAAAGTGGGCAGCACCATGGACAACTTCCACATTAAATTTAAAAATCATCCTGCTGCCGCTCTTCCCAAGGGCCTAGGAGAGCCAGGCAGCATTCTTCCTGTGGCAGGAGACTCTCTCAATAGGCGCCAAGTGGCAGGGCTTCTAAGCCTTTTTCATTCTTCTTATGCTCTTTTTTTTTTTTTTTTTTTTTTTTGGACTAAGGAAGAAGGAAGAGGGAAAGCAAAAGAAAAAATAAAAAAGACCCTAGCCACAACTTGTGTCTTTGCCTACATATTTTTCCTTAACTGGATCTCACTAAAAATACATTCTATTTAGAAGAACTGTAACAAACATTAACTTATGGATTTAATTCTATCAGAAGATCATGTCCAATCTTTCTGACAACAGGCAGAAACTACTTTTTGTTTTCTTTGCTTTAATTAATTCTCAGAATAGCTACCTATCACTCTCTTATTTTGTTGGATCTACCTAGAATTCAAATTATACTTTGAGGGTTAAGTTCTGAAAATGATAAGAGAATGTGGAACCTCCTACAAAGATTTAAAAACTCCAGACATTACACAGTAAAACATTTAAAACGAATGAAGCTAAACTTAAAAATTATTCATAGAAGAGTAGCTTGATTAAAACTCTAATTATATAAATTTAAACCTTAAATCTTGAGTTACTTGTTACTCACCTTTAAAAGACTTCACATCATCCAACAATCTATTTTCACAGATCTTCCCAGCAGCTACAATGCAAAGCACAATTTACATCAAATAAAATATGATGTAGATGTTCATAAAAATGTACATATATTCCATAATTTCAGGAAGAATTATTTATTTGCTGAATAATTATGTTCTTTTCTCCTTTTCCAGTTCAAGACATACAGAGAGGAAATGAGAACTATTTCAGCATGAAAAATTAGGTGATTTTAAACACCCAAGACACCTGTCCATAAGCTCTGCTATACTGATAATCCTTTGTTTCTTCTTTGACCTCTTCCACCCAATCCTTTTGAATCTGTCATCCCATCAATTTCTTTCATTTTCTTTATGATAGTTTTATCATTGGCTAGAAGGGACCATATATGTGTTTATTCTCTGATGGCCTGATTTATGGCTAAAAAGAGCAAAAGGGTATCTGTAACTTAAAACTTAGTTCTAATTGTTTTAAGTATTTTTTTAAATGCTAAACAGAGATGTTTAAAAACTTCTCCCATAGTCTCATAAAACTAAGCTCTCAAGAAGGCAACAGAGGCACGTCTGAGGCTTACCATCAACTGGCAGCATTTTTAGCAGCTCCATTTGTTCTTTATCTGTTAGCTCAATACCCATGTTGCTCAGAAAGTCTGGTAGATACTGCACATCAATCTTTTGTCCTTTGAAAAAATGGAAATGTTATCATTTAAGAATTTTGTAAGGGGCCGACCCAGTGGCGTAGTGGTTAAGTTTGGTGTGCTCCACTTCAGCTGCTGGGGTTCGTAGGTTGGATCCTGGGTGCGGACACACACCACTCATCAAGCCATGCTCTGGCAGCAACCCACATACAAAATAGAGGAAGACTGGCCTGGAGCCATCTAGCACAAATGTTAGCTCAGGGCCAATCTTCCTCAAGCAAAAAGAGGAAGATTGGCAATGGGTGTTAGCTCAGGGCCAATCTTCCTAACCAAAAAAAGAAAGAAAAAAGTAAAATAAATAATAATTTCAAATAACAATTTAATAATTTTGTAGAATAACTATTTCAAATAATGATTTAAGAAACACAAGTTTCTTCTTGATTTGAACAAGTTCAAATGCATAATAAGATATATCCATCTATACAGAACCAAAAAAGGATCACGTTTCAAATTTATTTAAAAATGCTGAAAAGTGTGATCCCCTAATATTAGGACAGGTCAAGGTAGAGAATTTTACTTTACATTTTACTTGAATAAACTGTCTGGTTAATTAAGATTTCAGAATCAATTCATTTATACATCTTACCAGAGTCCAGTGGATTTAATTTTTTTTCTGAATTATGTGCTTTGTTCCTTGTATTGACAGTAAAAACTCCTTATCTTATTGTTACTTGATCTATTCTGTTTTGAGAGTCTTTAAATAATATATACATTTTTAATTTTATTTACAACCTGCATCTTTATTTAGTAGTATCTGAATTTATTTATTTTTTATTTTTAAAGATTTTTATTTTTTTCTTTTTTCTCCCCAAAGCCCCCCAGTACATAGTTGTATATTCTTCATTGTGGGTCCTTCTAGTTGTGGCATGTGGGACGCTGCCTCAGCGTGGTTTGATGAGCAGTGCCATGTCGACGCCCAGGATTCGAACCAACGAAATACTGGGCCGCCTGCAGCGGAGCGTGCGAACTTAACCACTCGGCCAGGGGCCAGCCCCTTTAAATAATATTAAAATGAGTGATATTGTGAGTAAAAAACAGTCTCCAGAAAGCTTACAAATTGTTAGTAAGTTATAGACATTAACCACTATTTATAAAGGCAAACTAGTATGGTAGAAGCAAGTGTTTCATCACGAAAGGTTAAATAAAACCAAAATTTACAAATCAAGAATAGAATAGTACGAAAATATTATTGACTTAAGAAAATATACTTCTGCATAAAACCTGGGTGTCTTAACTCTATAGTAACTTCCCACTCACCTGTAAAAGCTTTTAATCCATCCCACAACTTTCTTATCTCAACTTTCTCATCTGCTGCAAGAAAAAATACAAATCATAAAAAGAAATAGACCAGCACATGCTTCAGTGTTCCCTCATTTAGAAACAGGTACAACGATGTCTGCTAGTCACACATCTTTCATGAATATTGTGAAATGAGAAAAAAGTAGTATCCTTGGATTGATTTAACCCCTTTGGAAGAATTCAAAGAACTGATTATGATTCATGTGTACTATTTATGAAAATAAAGCAATATTTCTTTGCACTCAAAAAAAGAGAAATACAACATAAGACTTAGAAATAACGTGAGACAGGATAAACTTCCAACAACATGTGTATACTACAGAGTGTTCCCTACTTTACCCTCTGCATGAGAATATATCAGACTAAATAAGTGAAGTATGGAAAAGAACAATTTCAACAACCTAGTTGTGATTTAATTCTGTAAGAAACGAAGCCAACACCAGTCAAGGGATAAAATTTGAAGATCACCTCTTTTCAAGGGTATACTTTTAAGCTTTAAGACACTGAAGAACTTTTATTGCTTAGATCAAGCCACTACAACAGGATTTAAATTTGGTATATCCTATAGTCATATTTCAACTTGGATTTTAGTAATTATCTTATCTAATGAGCTCTCACTCAGAGTTTCTCTTTATTTTAACAAACCCAGACAGAATTTTTTTACCTCTTTTTGGGTTGAAAAATTACTAATTGCTTTGAAGTCAATTTCTTCACATTAGGGATTTTTTAGGGTTATCATACCATGCAGACACTATTAGATTTTTATACAAAAATATTTCCAATTTAACATTTTTTAAAAATTTTGTTTAGTTCATTATAGATTCTTATATACTTGTAAGAAAAAAATTAGTTATGCCTTGGACATTTCACCCAGTTTTCCTCAACAATAAAACTTGTAAAACTATAACATAATTATATAAATATAACATCACAAATAGAATATTGACATTGACACAATCCACCAGTCTTATTCAGATTTCTCTAGTTTTACTTGTACTCATTTGTATGTCTGTGTGTCTATTAAGCTCAATACAATTTTATCACTTTTGTAGGTTCATGGATCCACTACCACAGTCAAGATACACAACAGCTCCAATATCACAAGGATCCCTTGTGTTGCCCTTTTATGACCGGTACTTCCCTGCTGCATCCACTCTCCATCTGACCCCCTATTCCTAAGTGACAATCATTAATATACCCAGTATTTAAAAAATTTTGTCATTTCAAAAACATTATGTAAATGGAATCATACAGTATGTAACCTTTGAGATTGGCCCTTTTTGCTTAACATAAGGCTCTGCAGATTCATCCAAGTTATTGCATGTGTCAATAGTTCATTTATTTTTATTGATAAATAGTATTCCATAGTATGTAGGTGCCACAGTTTATTAAATCATTCACCTGTTGAAGAATATCTGGACTGATTCCAGCTTTTTGCTCTTATGTTCATGCTTAGGTTTTTGTGTGAACCCAAGTTTTCATTTCTCTGGGATAAATGCCCAAAGAAGCAATTGCTGGATCATATGGCAATTGTGTATTTTGTTTTTTGAGAAACTGCCAAACTGTTTTACAGAGTGGCTGTACCACTTTACATTCCTATCAGCAAATATGAGTGATCCACTTTCTCTAGCATTTTCATCAGCATTTGATGTTGTCACTAGTTTTTATTTTAGCTATTCTGATAGGTGTGTAGTAGTATCTAATTGTGATATTAATTTGCATTTGCATGATGGCTAATGACATTGAGTATCTTTCCATGTGCTTATTCTCCATCTTTATGTCCTCTTTGATGACATGTGTTTTCATATCTGCCCCACACCATTTTCTAATTGGATTCTTTGTATTTCATATTGTTGAGTTGTGAGGGTTCTTTATGTATCACAGATGCTAGTCCTTTGTTGGATACGTGCTTTGCAAATATTTTTCTCCCAGTCTTCAGTTTGTCTTTTCATCCTGTTCACATGGGCTTTCACAGAGTTAAAGTTTCTAATTTTGATGAGATCTAATTCGTCAACTTTTCCCCATAATATATGGTTTTAGTGTAATATATATTTTTAAAATTAATTTATTTGTGACTTGGTAACAAGTATACACTCATTAGATTAGCTAGAATTGGCAAAATGCAAACACATTTACTTATACACTATTATTGTAAGGGATATAGATCAACAAAAACTGGGATACTGCTGATGGAAATATAAATTGCAATTTGAGATTATATTTGTAAAATTAATTACTGGCCTACCCTATGACCCAGTAATTCTAGAGGTGTATACTCCTATGTATATATACCTACAGAAACTCTTTGACATGTGCTCCAGGAGGCATACACAAGATTGGTTTTGGCAGGACTGTTTGTAATAGTGAAAAACTGGAAATAATTTAAATGTCCATTGATGGTGAGAGGTATAAATAAATCATTGTATACTTACACAATAGAATATTATATAGCAATGAAAAGTATTACCATAGTTGTATGCAACAACACAGATGAGTCTTAGAAACATAATAATTGAGGAAATAACAAGATCCAGAACACTTGTCACATACTATAAGATAATATTTATAAAGCTCACAAAGCAAGCAAATTTATTTAGGAACACATACGTACATGATCAAACTAAATTATTTTTTAAAGCAAGGGAATTATAAACACAACGTTTAGCATAGTGGTTACTTTGCAAGTGGATGGCAGAGGGATGAGATGGGGGAAGAGTACATATGTAGGTATAAGTTCGTGGCAACGTTCTAATGCTTAGGCTGTGTAGTGGAATCATGGCTTTTTATCTATTAACGCTTTATAATTTATCTATGTATGTATAATAAAACAATTTTCTGTTTCAAAATATTATATTTTAAAACATAATAAAGGAATAATTACTTTCGAAATAATATAGACTATTGAAAATAAATGGATACCTCTACAAAAATATATTCTGGAAATATTATATATTTTATACCAGGGTACAGTAGTAATCAATGGCAAAAATTAAATAACATGGCATATGAGTAGAATGAGCAGGTTTAAATAAGCACTTTAGCCTAAGGAATTTTCCCAGGTTAGTATTCATTGTTTTCCTCATTTGTGATGGAATTACCTTGTGATTCAATGCACTTCAAAGTGTGTCTCTAGCCCAGTACGAGACTATTGAAGCCCAGGAATATAGCCCTTGGATCATGGAGCTTGATCCAGAAGAAGGGAATCATGCAGCTTCATAGAGAGAACATGCCATGCATGCTGGCCTGAATCTCTCATTGTCCTTGACCTTATGATAGGTATCAGGTTCTGTTATAGCTTATGGCAAAGAAATGTGCACCAAACTTGTCATTCTTTCCTGTTCCTTTTTTGTCTTCTTGTCTCATGGTAATTGACTGGATGAAGTGGGATTAGTAGTAGTGGAAATCATCATTTTAACAGATAGTTGAAGTCATTTAAATCATTCTTCACTCTTAGCATTCTTTCTTTCTCATTCTCATTTTCTGTATATATTTTTCTCTAACTTTATTTCATTGTATTTTCACTCTTCTGTCTTCTGATTTGTTTTCTTTCCTCCAACTTTTCCTGATCTGATAGTGGACCTGAACAAATTCCCTTCTCTACTTAGGGTTCAAGTGAAACAAACTGCATCATGAACTGATGAAAATGATATGAAAGACATAATTAGCTATTCATTATCTTCTGGATTCTTTTATACTTTTTTCAAAATGCTTACCTATGCCAAATAAATATTTTAATGGGTTGATTGATGCATATGGAAAACCCCAGATCAATCTGAGTAGCTTAAAAATATCTTTAATGCTCACCACCAGTGGGCAGGTTGCGTTTCAGATCCTTAATTTCTTCTTCTGTGAGGTTTAATCCCATGTCCCCCAAAACTGCGTCCAGTTTATTCACATCAATGACCCCTCCTTGGGAAATGAGAGGAATATGAGCAAAATCTGATGTATTCAAAGCTCCTAATTTCTGTATATTAAGGTTATTTTCAGCGTGAATATCAAGGCTTCATAGTACAAAGAGGGTCAATAATGGAGTTAAAAACAGAACTTTCTTAGTTAGTGTGATGACAGGTTTACAAAGCATAAATTTTAAAAGGGTTTGAGTCACTATTTAACAATTCATAGAGGGATCTGGCAGAAAAAGTGATGAGGTAGGAGAACACAGCTTCCCTGTCTCCCCATAAAGATCAACGATTGGACAGAAATCCATGAATAAAAACAGCTCTGGAAGATCTCTAGAGTTTACTTACAAAGTTTTAGCAACACAGTGGAACCAAAAGACCCAGAATAATTGCACAAGAAGAGAAGACAGACAACTTCATTTTACCCGCATCATTCCATCCCACAAGCTGGCGTTGTTCAGTACCAAGTAACTTCTCAGCTAGAAAGAATTCCTCACAAGGAAAGACCTAAGTGAGTGACCAGCTTCTCCAGCCTCTCAGGACACTGTGCAAAGACCCCGCTTCCATTTCACCCCACCTAGACTGGCAAAGTTGAAACATATAGAGCCATCTAATAAAAAGGAAGAAAAGCAGAGGCTACTGTTAAACAGACATAGAGCAGGAGTGATCAGTTGTGGTTCACAGAGGCATGCTCTGCCGATCATCTCAGCAGATTTCGTCACTGACGAAGCCATTTGTCAACAGATCTCTGCAGAATCCCAGCTGATTTCTCCAGCTTTCGCCCCAGGGGTTCAGCCTGAGTCCCTCCACACTCCCTCTCTACCTCTCCATTCTCCCACCCCCCCACCCCCAGCTGCTGCAGGAGCCCAGGAACCACCCTAGCTACCATCCAAGTTCTGTGTGGTGGTGCAAGTGTAAGATTCCAGCTGCCTGAGTCCCTTCCTGTCCCTGTCAGAACCTGGGAACCACACCTACAGGCAGCTCAGGCCTCTGCAGCTGTGCAAGTGTAAGATGCCAGCCTGGATCTGCCTAGCTGTCCCTGACTGCTGTGCCCATGCTCAAGTGGCTAGCCACTCCAGTTGTGCACCTCCACACCACTGGCCTGTAGTATGTCACTGGCCTCCACTGCAGTGTGCCTGCCAGGGCGAGAATGCGAAGCCACTCCACAGGTAAGCTCGCTAACAGCCAGGGTCCCTGTAGCTACTTGTGGGCTCAGATCAGGCCCTGCCTTCTGTCACTGCCTGGCACCACTGTACCCACCTGTAGCTAGCCTCTCTGGCTGTGTACCTGCATGTCCCCAGCCAGACAGTGTCATCAGCCTCCACTGTAATGTGCATGGACAAGGAGAGAGTGGGAAGTCATGGGAAAGCACGCCAACAGCCAGGTCCTCTGCAGCTGCCAGTGAGTCCATAGTTGGCCCCTGCCCTTCTTACCTGCCTTGGTCGCCATCACTACATGTATGTCTGCAACTGGACCCTACCACTACATAGACACCTACAGCTGACCTCTGCAGCCGAGTGTGCATACACCACTGGCTCAGGCCACCACTGCTGCCTGCTCTGGTCCCTAGCTGCCAGGCCTGGAGGCACTGCTGAGAACCCCAACAATGCCTGTAGCCACTGTGGACCCCCCACAGTGCTCACTAAGGACCACATAGTTGTTGATACTGTGGACTACAACAGTCTGAGCCTAAAAGACACCACACCTCTTTGGACTCAGTATTGCCATGCACCCCTGCACTTGGCACCCCTTTACCACTAGACTCAGGCCCATGGTCCAGGGCATGATCCAGCATGCCCCCATCCAAAGATAAAAGGTTTCCCTTACCAAAGTCAATCCATAAAGTCTGAAAGAGGTGACTGTTTCTTCACATGTGCAGACACCTATGCAAGGCTACAGGGATCATGAAGAATCAGGGAAACATGACTCCACCGAAAGTATACAGTAAACCTCCAGTTTCCCAAAGAAATGGATATGCAAGAATCCATTGCTAGGATGGAAATCCAGACCAATAATGAGTAAGGAGATTAAATCAGTAATCAAAAATCTCCCAACAAAGAAAAGCCCAAGACCAGATAGTTTCACTGGTGAATTCCATCAAACACTTAAAGAAGAATTAATGCCAATCCTCCTTAAACTCTTCCAAAAAATTGAACAGGAGGGAACACTCCTAAATTCATTTTATGAGGCCAGTATGACCTTGCTACCAAAGCCAAATAAGGATACTACAAGAAAAAAAGACTACAGGTCAATATCGCTGATGAATACAGGTACAAAAATTCTGAACAAAATACTACCAAACCAACAGCAAATTAAAAGGATCACACACCATGATCAAGTGGGATTTATCCCTGGGATGCAAAGATGGTTCAGCATACGCAAATCAATAAATGTGATACATTACATTAATAGAATTCAAGACAAAAATCATATGATCATCTCAACAGATACAGAAAAAGCATTTGACAAAATTCAACATCTTTTCATGATAAAAACTCAACAAATTGGGGACAGAAGGAACATATGTCAACACAATAAAGGCCATATATCATAAACTCACAGCCAATATCATACTCAGTGGTGAAAGTTGGAAAGCTTATTCTCTAAGATCAAGACTGCCCACTCTCACCACTCTTATTCAACATAGTGCTGCAAATCCTAGCCAGAGGAATCAGACAAGAAAAAGAAAAAGAATCCAATACAGAAAAGAAGAAATAAAATTTTCTTTGTTTGCAGATCATATGATATTATAAACAGGAATCCTAAAGATTCCACAAAAAAAAATGCTAGAACTAACAAATGAATTCAGTAAAGTTGCAGGGTACAAAATTAACATACAGAAAACAGATGTGTTTCAATATACTAACAACAAAACATCTGAAAAAGAAATAAAAAAGACAGTCCCATTCATGATAGGATCAAAAACAATAAAATACTCAGGAATAAATTTAACCAAGGAGGTGAAAAATCTGTACACTGAAAACTACAAGACTTTGATGAAGTTACACAGAAATAGAGAAACCAATCCTAAAATTGGTACAGAGTCACAAAGACCCCAAATAGCCAAAGCAATCCTGTGAAAGAACAAAGCCGGAGGCATTACATTTCCTGATTTCAAGCTTTTCTACAAAGCATAGTAACCAAATAGCATGGCGCTGCAATAAAAATGGGCACGTAGATCAATGCAATAGAATTGAGAGCTCAGGAATAAACCCATTCATATACGGTCAACTAATATTTGACAAGGGAGCAAGAATACCCAATGGGGAAAGTAGAGTGTCTTCAACAAACAGTGTTTGGAAAACTGAATAACCACATGCAGAAGAATAAAATTGGACCCCTATATTATACCACTCACAAAAATGAACTCGGAATGGATTAAAGACTTAAGACTTGGAAACAGAAAACTCCTAGAAGAAAACATAGGAAAAAGTTTCTGACATTGGTCTTGTCAGCAATTCCCTAGCTATGACACCAAAAGTATAAGCAATAAAAGTGAAAATAAATAAGTTGGACTACAGCAAACTCAAAAGTTTCTGCACAGCAAAAGAAAAAATTAACAAGATGAAAAGGCAACCTACAGAATGGAAGCAGATATTTGCAAATCATATATGATAAGGGGTTAATATCCAAGATATTTGAAAACTCACGCAACTCAACAGCAAAAATAACAAAGAACGCAATTAAAAAATGGGCAGAGGAACTAAATAGACGTTTTTCCAAAGAAGACATACAGATGGCCAACAGGTATATGAAAAGATGTTTAACATTACTAACCAACAGAGAAAAGCAAATCAAAACCATAATGAGATACCACCTCACACCTGTTAGAAAAGCTATCATCAAAAAAGACAAGAGATAACAAGTGTTGGTGAGGGTGTGGAGAAAAGGGAACCCTTGGGCACTGTTAGTGGGAATGTAGATTGGTACAACCACTATGGAAAGCAGCATAGAGGTTCCTCAAAAAAATTAAAAATACAACTGCCATATGATCCAGTATTCCCACTTCTGGGTTTATATCCAAGGGAAATGAAAACAGAATCTTGAAGAGATATCTGCACCCCTTCTTTACTGCAATATTATTCTCAATAGCTAAGAAATGGAAACAACCTAAGTGTCCATCAACAGATGAATGTCCAGTCATGAGAAAGAAGAAAATCTTGCCATTTGCGACAACATGGATGAATCTTGAGGGCATTGTGCTAAGTGAAATAAATCAGACAGAGAAAGACAAATACTGTATGATATCACTTAAGGGGGAATCTAAAAAAGCTGAATTCATAGAAATACAAAGTAGAATCGTGGTTACCAGGGGCTGGGGGGGGGGCGCAGGGAAAATGGGGAGATGTTGGTCAAAGGATATAAACTTCCAGTTATAACAAGTTCTGGGATCTAATGTACAGCATGGTGATCATAGTTAATAATACTAATCATACTGTATTATATACTTAAAAGTTGCTAAGAGAGTAGATGTTAAATGTTCTCACCACAAAAAAGAAATGGTAATTATGTGACATGATGGAGGTATTAGCTAATACTATGGTGGCAATAATTTTGTAATATATAAATGTATCAAATCGACACAGTTGTACATCTTACATTTACACTATATGTCAATTACGTCTCAATAAAGCCTGGGATAAAAAACAATTCATAGAATGGCAAAAATAATTTAATACTCTAACCAATAAGTTCGTTCTCTTCTTTGTTTATTTACCAAATTAGTTGTTTCAACTCCTAATTAAATTCTCTGAATAATTTACATGTAGTTTCACTGGCAGACAGATTTTGTTATTTTCTTTTCCATCAAACAGGAGGAGATTTCAAAAATTCTATGTGGAGATACTTTGCCAACAAACACATCTATATAGGAAGATTGGAATGGCATCAAAATGTATTTAAATTGGCAAGATTCACAATTTAATATCTAGGAAATAGTATATATATGTCTCATAGATTCATCTGACTTTTCCTTATGCTTTTCACTTACCATTAAGAGACTTCAAAGCACCTAGTAATCTCTTCTTGTAGACTTTTTCATTAGCTACAGGAAACACATAAATCAGGTCACACACAAGTGAGTGATATGGAAAGACACCAAGAGAGCAAAAGCAGAATTTAAGGTAAATAAAATTTGTAATTTTCTGTAGAAAATTTCTGATTTACTTTGAAATATTTTTTAAAAAATGAAATAACCATCAATGCAGCCTCTCTATTCAACTTTAAACACTCAATTTTATATTCTTTTTCAACACTCTAATTTCTCTTTTCATCTCTTTCACTTAATTCACAGTTTAACTTTTAGATTTCCCTCCCAAGGGAATTCCAGGTTACAAAAGGTATTTCTTAACTGTATAGCAGGATGTGTGAATAAAGGAGTAGCTGATTCCCAAACTATAAAATATTTGATACAATTCCTTTTAAGATAAAACTTGGTCATTTTCTTTTTTCTTTAAAAACAATTTATAATTATAAACTTCTATGAGTTTAAATAAATGTATATATTGGATCATATCATATATGGGTGTACTTTTTAAATCTAATCTTTTGTTGTTCTTTTTATTATTATTGCTTGAATTCCTCCTTTCTCTTCTTCACCCTCCTATCACAACCCCTAATATCGCAGGTAACTCATGTTAACAAATTATAATGTATCTTTACATTAAGCATGTGTATACATGTATGTGTTTTGAGTGTGAGAGTTTGTGTGTGTGTGTATGTGTGTGTATGATTATATAGGCATGGTATATTTCATGCCAAACGATTTTAAAAAGTATTATTTTCTATGCTATCAAATTAGAATGCTATAGAAATTCTCACAAACAAAACAAGAAATATATGCTCCTTATAGCCATATTGATATTTTAAATCCTTACCATCAAGTGGCAGATTTTCTAACAGCTTCATAAATTCCTTATTTGTGAATGTTATGCCCATCTTTCCCAAAACATCTTCCACGTCACTGACATCAACCTCTTCCCCTTCAACACAACAGAAATAACGACAGATTGGTATATTGAGAAAAGCCTAATATTTCAAAAACATAAAAAATAATAATTGATGACATTCAGTTTAAGCTACAATAGGAGCATGAGCAGAATAACACACTGAGAACTGTCCAACATTATCATTTACTGTCAGTGAAACAGAATTTCTTCCTTACTCTTAGTAAAATGATAGAAATAATGATGTGGTTTACATGATGCAAATTAGGATATTGTAAGTATATGATCCAAATATTAGTCTCAATGATAAAAGAATCTTTATGAAAGTTTTGCTGTATCATTTGCTGTGTTAATTTAAATTTTGGCTTTCAAAATTAGAAATAGTGATCATCATTGGGAAATATTCCAGAAATGAAAGAAATCACTACCAAAACATTACATTAGAATTTTTGTGCTAAAATGCAGATAATCTAAAATAAAATTCCAGGTAATTACATACAAATATTTAATCAATACAAAAGAAAATGACAAAATAAACAAAGGAAAGATGAGAATATATAAAAATACAATTTAGAATAAAGAATTAAGACATTAGATTTATAGTAAATTCTAACTAACCTGTAATAGTTTCCACTGTATTCACTAACTTATTGAGATGAACCTTCCTATTAGCTATAAGAAAAATAATAATTAGAATATGGAATACATTGTAAAAAGACACAAGAGCTAAATTAGGAAATAGGTTCAACCCGAAATTTTATCTCAGTCAACTAAAAATTTATAAGCAATGGATGACAAAAATTCATTCTTTGTTGCTAGAGAGTTGGCCCAAGAAACCACTTTCTCTTAGTCTTATGCTTGAAGGAATGTTAGAATGGGCTAATGTTACCAGGAATCCTTTTTTCTGATACAAAAGTAATATCTCTCCAAGATTTTTGTTAAAAGAGAGACTTTCACTTTTCATCTTTTACTAATACTTTTCTTTAGTTATTTCAACTACTAACTTGAAATGGCTAGTGACATGTATGGGTGTTTTCAATCTTTTGTTACCAACATACCTATAAAGCTGTGATAAATATTTCGACCTTTTAATCTTGGGAAAAGAAATCATTAGTTGGAGATAGAGAGATATGGAAACTTGCATTGTTCCAATACCAGGAAGGATTGATCAACCCCACGAGGGCCAGCCACATAATTTTTGGAGCAAGCGCAAAATGAAGATACATTTTCATTCAAAAAACAGGAAAAAAGTCTTGTCCTTTCTCCTACAGTCTCTCTCTCAAACTGTCAGGGTGTTTTTTGTTTGTTTGTTTGAATATGCTATTTAATATTGCCCTCTCTTGGGTGTCGAATACTCTTGGGGCAAGTACAGAACCTCACAGGTGTCTTGTGCCCAGTTCCACTACTCAGTATGCATGGAGCCCACCTGCAGGGTTCCCTCTTCTGCCTTCTGCCAGATCTACACACCTGAAAGTTCAATCAGGTATCCCCCTCTCCTATGCGCCTGGAACCTTAACTCACTGGGAACAGTAGACTTTCAAGACTACTGGAACGTTCATGTGGGTACACTCTAGGTATTTAGAAGGGGATATAGGCCAGAAGCTTGACTCTGCCAAATGCACTGTGGTGCTGCCAGCCCAGAATGGGAATGGCTGCCACCATGTCCTGACACAAAATGCCTTCAGGTGTGTATGCCCAACACCAACCCTCCCTGCACTCATGTCCAGGCAATTGTTAAATGAATTTATACTTCCAACCAGAGATAGTTAGTGATTTCTTACTCCTTTTGGTCAGTCTCTCCACTTACCATTCACTCATCAAGTATTGAAAGCCTGTCAAATAAGTGAAAGAAAACATGCTAGGTAACGGGAATACAATATGAATCCACGTATGGTTCTTGCTGACAAGAAGCTTTCAAGCTTTAGCAGAAGATTTATATAAAGACTTCTGTTTGTAATATGATATGGTAAATGATAGAGGTATATAATGAAAAATGAGAAGCCACACAGAAAGTTAATCCCAAATTGAGGACAATTTTTTAGAAGAGTATGAATATCCACGTCATAAATATGTGAATATATTTGTGGAAAGGCAGAGAGTGAGATGGGAGAGGATATGCAATAGGATGCTATAGTATTAAGTATTAGGTAACAAGCAGCATTTACTCATTTGTGGAAGAAACTTTTATTAATACTCTGTTAAATATCAGGCACTACACTAGGCACTGAGAAAGAATACTGTGGATGCTTAAAATAGCAGTATCTGTATTCAAGCAGCTCAGTCTGTCATGTGGAGATAGACACATAAACAGACGTTTGCTATCAAAGAAATGATAGCAATTTTTTATTGAGCAAGTTAGGCGACATTCCTGTTACCACCATAGAATGCTGTTCATATCCAACGTGGGTTCAGATATTTCAGTGTGACTGCAGAGCAAATGAGAAACAAGGAGTAGTAAGAAGGGCTGGAAGCCCAGACTAGATGCAAGAGAGCATTCTATATGCCATGCTTGCACTAGAGAACTTGGGTATTTTTGGTGATCAGTGGCAAGCCACTGAAGGGATTCAAGCAGGGAAATATAATATTTACATTTTAGATAGAGTATTCTGATAGTTTTAAAAAAGATGGATTTAAAAGGAGATAACCTGTAGCTAAGGGCCAGCCCCAGTGGCATAGTGGTTAAATTTGGCGTGCTGTGCTTGGGAGGCCTGGGTTCAGTTCCCAGGCACGGACCTACACCACTCACCTATGCTGTGGTGGTGGCTCACACACAAAACAGAGGAAGATTAGCAACAGATGCTAGCTCAGGGAAAATCTTCCTCAGCAAAACAGAAGATTGGCAACAGATGTTAGCTCAGGGTGAATCTTCCTCAGCAAAAAAAAAAGGAAACCTGTAGAGATGAGTTGATTTGGCAATGAGTGGAATACAGGCAGAGAAGGAGAGCAAGGAGTGAAGGATAATACAAAACATTGTAGCCTGTGTGAATAGAAAATGATGATTTGACCTACCGAGGGACCAATTTATGTTGGGAAATTATGACATCAGTTTCAAACATGGTGAAAGGAAGAGTATCTACCAGGAATTTTGGATACATTGATATTATATTTAGAGGAAAATCCTAAGCTGAAGATTTGGAAGTCTTCAGCATAGAGATAATAACTGAAAATACGGGAATATATAATATTTCCCCAGAAAAAGTGTAAAAATAAAGTGAGTATGGACATTTCAGAACAGAATGTGTTGAGGAATAACTGTCTTTTATTATGACATTGGCAATATGGAGTCTCATTCACTCTTTTACTTTAATTCCCCTAATGTCTTTCCTGCTCCATGTTCGTTTCCTGTTTTGAGAGTGGTCTCAGTTACTTTCAATGCTAAGAAACAGAGGAGAACAAGTTGGTATCTATGGATTTCTGAAACAAAGATGCAAGCACTATTATAACTGAACTACTTATTTATGAAAATTAAGAGATAAGTTCTGTGACAAAAAAAGCCCAACAACAACAGCTAGCTATCCGCCAATACTCTTATTTCTCTCTATAATGTAGAATTATACCACTCTCCCTTGCATTTTGGTGTAGTCAAGTGCTATAACAAAGGATTGGTTGTGAAAATGATGGGTATTACATCTCCCTCTTTCACGCTCTCTTCTTCGTTCCATCAGTTGAATACAAGCAATGAAGAGGCCCTAGAAGGAACGTGGATCCCTATATCACTGAATGGAGAAGAGCCACTGCCTGTCAACCAAAAATATTCTTACCTTCAACTTGTACAGCAGAAAGAATTAAACTTTTACTGTAATAATGATATATGACATATTTTAGGGCTTATTTTGCTACATAGATATTTAGCTTACCCTAAATAATCTATGTTCTAGTCTTAAATTAGGACTGGCTCTTTTCTTACCTTTGCAAACAGCTTTTTTTTTAAAACCAAATATCACTAGTAATAGGTATTCTCTTACACAAGGCATAAATGTAAATTACCTTCTAAAAATCCATTGTTATCTACAATGCTTACTATTAAGTGGAAGATTTTTTGTCAGATCTTCATGTTCCTGTTCTGTGAGTTTGAACCCAAGGTTTTCTAGAACAGTATCTAGGTCATCAACTTTAACCATTCCTCCTTAGGAAACAGAGAGGAAAGAATCATGGAAAGAAATTATTTCAAAATATTAATATATTCAGGCATAGATTTTTATCTTACATGCATTTTAGGATAATAAAATATATAAGTGTACAACTTCTTTGTATTATTGAACAGGTATATAAGGTTAGCTCAGTAAATTACCTAAAATGATGTCAAGAACAACATAGATAAAAAATGTTCTGAAGTTGAAGCATTACTTAGGGGACTATAATTGTGGGTTTAAGGTTATTATTTTCAGTGTTAAGTAATAATCATCTCTCAAAATAGGGAGCCAAAAGTATAGAATAAGTAGGTAGTGTTGTCCCCATGGCGTATATGTGGAAAACACTGGGCAGGTCAAGGCAACAGCTGAGAACGATAGTTCAAGCTTTAGACCATCAATGTCCTGCTTTATTGCAATATCTAAGAAAGTGCATTAAAGATGATAACAAATTGCTCCAAGAAGGAAGAGTATCATGGACAACACATTCGCCACAAAGTTCTGCATGGAATGTTGCTGACTGCCATTATTCTGAGGGCCCACAACGTCAGGAGTCCAAGTGCCACCTACAAGAGACTTCCATCCCCAACACTAAGCAGCAAAGCCTGTACCTTTTTCTTTCCTTCCCTACACTCTCTCTTCTCTTGTTCTAAGAGCTAATAGGAGGAGAAAGAAACAATAAAGCAGAATGTTCTGTTAATCATGTTTCTTACATACCTTTCAGAGACTTCACACCATCCAACAACCTGTTCTGATACACTTGTCCAGCAGCTAGAAGAAAAGGCGTAATTTATATCAGAAGTAAAAGAATTAGGACAGTCACACAGTTATTGGGCAACTGGTAATTCCAATAAGAGAGTTTCTATTCTTTCCCTGAGAAATCTGTCCTATCTTCCCATCAAATAGAAATTATTTTAGGAAAAAGAAAGTTGTCTTGGTGACAAAAAATGTATACAGTGTTTGGCAAGTGATAAAACTGCTGGGAAACTCTACTGTGCAGAAACAATCACTACTCTTTTCTGTCTCTTTTCCTTCTCCCCTCCCCTCCTTTTACTAGTCTCTCAGTATCAGTGTCATTTAGGCCTCTCAGCAGCCTGAATGGGTAACATTATTATAATTTGCATCAATTCTAATGGCAAAATTTACGGTTGAAGAACTTGGTGATTTCTCAATTAAATCTCAGCAAACTTACCTTTGCCTAATCATTTTCAGTACTTTTTAGAAGAAATAAAGAGACAATATTTTGAATTGCTTACAATGATCCTCAAACCCCAACTCCCTGGAAAGGATATGCTGGCATTTATATGGCTCACCATCGATTGGTATTGTTTGTTCCAGCTTCATAAATTCTCCTTCAGTGAGCTCGATCCCCATGTTTCCCAGAACTTTTACCAAATCACTGGCATCAACCTTTTTTCCTTTCAAAAGATAAAAACATTAGGGCTTGACAATTTAGGGGAGCATCTAATGATTCCAAATAATGAAAAAATTATCCTCTGTACTCTACCATCTTCAACTTGAAATAGCAAATGGGTAAAATGAGACACACACAACTACACAGAATTATAGGGGAACCATAAAGAGAACATAGTTCCTTAATGTCATAAGAAGAATACTCTCTTAGTGATGAATTTGTGCACATCTAATGCAGCAGAGCAGTATGTTTCCTTTTAAGATTTGCCAACAAATTAAAATAATGGAAATAATAAAAAATTTACAATTCTGGCAAAGGAATCTAGAACTGTGTGGAGATCCTAAATTATGTGATTTTTCTCTTCACATATGCCTATCAAGGTACAGAGGTGTCTGAATATTAGAGAGTAAATCATATTATTGCCTTATTTAAAAACATTTTTGCCAAGGTTACTACCAAAACACAGAATTTTAACTGTATGTTTTAAATTTAAATTGTGCAAATAAATACAGAATAGAATTTTGAAAACAAGTGTTTGATGAAAATGTGATATAGACAAAATATAACAGTCTGGGTAAATTGAGAAAATATTTTTAAAATAATATGATTTTTTTTTAAGATTTTATTTTTCTTTTTTTCTCCCAAAGCCCCCCAGTGCATAGTTGTGTATTTTGAGCTGTGGGTCCTTCTAGTTGTGGCATGTGGGACGCTGCCTTAGCATGGCTTGATGAGCAGTGCCATGTCTGTGCTCAGGATTCAAACTGGCGAAACCCTGGGCTGCTGAAGCAGAGCGTGCGAACTTAACCACTCAGCCACAGGGCCAGCCCCATAAAATAATATGATTTTATAGTAACATTCCACTCACCAGTAAAAGCTTTCAATGCATCCATTAACTTTTTCATTTTAACCTTCCCATTATCTGTTAAGAAAAACATGTAAATCAAATACAGCTATAACACTGACACTCATTAACAACATGGAATTTAAAAAATAAAGAGATATATATATATATACATATAGTCTAATATCTTATCCTATGTTTATCCCTATCATGAGCCAAAAGTTCTAGAATACGATTATTAGAGTTTTGATTCATTGTACTACAGGAAATTAAACCTCTGACAGTTAAGGATGAGATATAAAATGAACTCACAATTTTCCACACGGTCTGCTTCATGACTCCTATGCATTGGAAAATCAATCACAAGGAACAGGATTCACAATTTGTGTGTACTACATATTGTTGTTTGTATTTGGATGTTAGAATTGATCTTCTTATACAATAAGTTCCTGACTTTTCTTTGACACAGAGTTCCTTATTCCTTTGTTCTAAGTAAATTAATAATCATTCCAGTGACTAGCTGAGATAATTTTTAAAGTAGAGATTTTTGCATATTTTTTAAATCAATTTTTAAAAAGACATTAACATGGAGGCCAGCCTGGTGGCATAGTGGTTATGTTTGCATGCTCTGCTTTGGAGGTCTGGGAATCGCAGTTTGGAACCTGGGCACAGACCTCCACACGGCTCATCAAGCCACGCCGTGGCAGCATCTCACATACAAAACAGAAGAAGACTGGCACAGATGTTAGCTCAGGACCAATCTTCCTCACCAAAAAAAAAGGAGAGAGAGAGAGGGAGAGAGAGAGAGAGACATTAACATGAAAGCATATTAAAAAGATAGAATTAAACAGAAATTTGGGATATTATAGGATCTCAGATTTATTTTCCTTTATTAGACAAAAAACAAGACATTTCTTTTGCAGAAAATATTGATTTTTGTCTAATTGTAGATGAAAAATACTTAAATAGAAGCTGCACTTTATTGAAAAATTCTGTTACTTGGACACCATGATTATTGAAATATAATTTACCAATGACAGTTATTTTTTTTAAAGATTGACACCTGAGCTAACATCTGTTGCCAATCTTTTTATTTTTACTTCTTCTCCCCAAAGCTCCCCAGTACATAGTTGTATATTCTAGCTGTAGGTTCACAGCTAGAGCTGTGCTATGTGGGACACCACCTCAGCATGGCTTGATGAGCAGTGCCACATCCAGGCCCAGGATCTAAACTGACAAAACGCCGGGCAGCTGAAGTGGAGCACATGAACTTAACCTCTTGGCCATGGGGGTGGCCCCACAATAACAGTTTTTAGTGGCCACCTATAGGTAAGAGAAGAGTGGCCAGAATAAACTACCAACTGTCCACATTGCTACTAACTCTAGACTGAGAGGAAATTTTGTTTTTCATTTTCTTCTGGCTCTAAAAGTACAAAGCAGACTACTATTCATTTTTTAACAAATTTATTGAAATGTAATTCACATACTGAACAATTCATCCATTTAAAATATACAAGTGAACATTTTTAGTATATGCACAGAGTTCTGCAACCACCACCATAATCTAATTTTAGAACATTTTCATCATCCCAATGAATACATTATATGAGGAGATGATTTCTAAAATCTGAACAGAAACATTAATATGTAGTACATACAGATCTGCCTATTCTGGACATTTAATATAAATGGAATCATACAATATGTGGTCTTTTGTGACTGGCTCCCTTCACTTAGTATAATGTTTTCACTGCTCCACTGCACTTCAGCCCTAATTCAACTTTAATTATATTTCAGAGTTTGTTTCTAGATCATCAAGGGGGATGCCTGAGAATATGGGCTTTGCACCATGGAGTCTGAATTAGGAAGTGGGATATTATGCAACTTTAGAAACAGGAAGAGTTCTGTACATTGTGGCCTGAATGTTTGAAGACCCTTGACGCTGAGAAAGTGAATGAGCACTACCGCATGGCTATGGAAAGTGTCCCTCATGTTGTTAATTTCCCACTTTCTCCCTTTTATTTTCCTATTTTTTCTGCATTAACCTCCTTCCAGACTGTTTTTCATGCTACTTTGTCCCCATTTGCTTGTCTTTTCTCTCACTTTTTATTGTCCTAATAACTGCCCTGTCTGTATTTTTAGCATTCCTTTGGCTCCAAAATTAAAGGAGTTGCTGACATATGTTAATAAAATAACAAGAAAGAATATCATTTTATTTTGTTTCTAAGTTCATTTCTAAGCTTTTATAAGTAGCTTCTTAATGGCAAATAAACTTTTTCAGAGGTGATCTTACAGATGCTTACATCTCAGGTTACCTTCAGCAGTGCAAAAAGTTATACACTCACCATCAACAGCTAGGTTCTTTATCAAATCTTTACTTTCCGTTCCTGTGAGTTTCATTCCCACATTTTGCAAAACAGTGTCCAGTTTAGTGACATCAACAATCCCTCCTTGGGAAAAAGAGAGAAATATAAGCAAAACTGAATAACCTTAGAATGTGACAAAAGCTATAAATTACTGTGTGTTATAGATATTGGTTTCACCTTGAAGAATAAGGTCCAATGAGGTATGTTCGGTTGTACAAAGACTGCCAGTAATAAAGGTGTAATTAGAATTTCTTCCATTGAGGGTTTTTTTTCTGGTATCAGTTTACATAATTAGCTTCTAAAGGTTGTGGTATAACCTGTAGACCATTTGCAGAAACGAAAAAATAAAAGCCACATACTGCTGCCAGTAGGAAAGTGTGATTTTTGTTTCTTGAACAGAAGTTCACATAGTTCTTTCCTCTGAGTAAATTTTCCAAATAATTTCTAATTTCCTCTCATTTTTTGTTAAATTATGAAACATTACAGGAATACAAATTTTTATGATGATATTACTGATACTTGTGTATCCTACCCAGCTTCATGAACAAACAGAATAGATATGACAAAAATATCTTCTGAATCCCTCCTCATCCCCATTCTTTTCCCACCTTCCCCAGAGAGATCTTATATAAAGTGTTTACAATTCCCACACATGTTTTACTAGCATACGTGAAATGATTTTGCAGAACTTTAAAGCTTATATAAATTATATCATAATATGAATTTCCTTTTGCTACTTGCATTTTTCATTCTTTTGTTTTTGTTTTTTAGATTTGTCCATGTTGAAACATAGAGCACTGCTTCATTCATTTTAACTGTTTATTATTCTACTATAATGTTATGCCATCATGTATTGATCCATTCTCCTGTAGATGACATTTAGGTTGTCTCAATTTTTTGGCCATTACAAACAACACTGCAGTGTACATTCGTGAATATGTCTCCTTGTTGACAAGAGTGAGAATCAGGTTTATATACACAAGATAGGAATAGCTGGAGTGGAATATACACATTTTTAACTTCTTAGAATTTTATCTAGCTGCTTTTGAAAGTGTTGCATCAATTAATATTCCTACTAGCAGTGCATGAGAGTTTCCACTGCTCCCTATCATTGCCAGCACTAGGTGTTGCTTGTTACTATTTTTAATTTGTTATCTGGGAAGTGGTATTTTACTGTTGTTTTAACTTGGATTTCCATGATTTACGAATGAAGTACTTTTTATAAGTGATCTCTTTCATCAAATGTCTGGTCTTATATTTATCCACTTGAACACTAGTTGTTTGGCTTGTTCTTACTGATGTATGGGAGTACTTCATGGATTCTAGAAATTACTTCTTGGTTGGTTTTATGCATTGCAAATATCTTCTCAGATTTTAGGCTGCTTTTTAAAATTTTTGTTTAGTGTATATCTGATCATGCAGAAGCTTTTACTCATTTTTATTTACTTATTTCCATTATTATTGAGATATAATGGACATATAACATTCTGTAAGTTTAAGGAGTACAGTGTGTTGATTTGATACACTTACACAAATGATTGCCATCATAACATTAGCTAACACCTCTATCACATCACATAATTACCATTTCTTTTTTGTGGTGAGAACATTTACAATCTACTCTCTTGGCAACATTCAAGTATATAATACAGTATTATTAATTGTAATCACCGCATTGTACATTAGATCTCCAGAACTTGTTAATCTGATAATTGAAAGTTTGTACCCTTTGACCAGTATCTTCTCATTTCCCCTAACCCCCAGCCCCTGATAATCACCATTTTACTCTCTGTTTCTGAGTTTGGCTTTTTTACATTGCACATTAAGTGAAATCCTACAGTATTTGCCTTTTTGCATCTGACTTACTTCACTTTGCATAATGCCCTCAAGGCCCATCCATATTGTCACAAATGGCAAGATTTCCTTATTTCTCATGGCTAAATAATATTCCATTGCATATATACACCACATCTTCTTTAACAATTCATCTGTTGACAGGTTGTTTCCATATCTTGACTATTGTAAAAACGCTTCAATGAACATGGGAGTGCAGATATCTCTTTAAGAATCTGTTTTCACTTCCTTTGGATATATACTCAGAAGTGGGAATGCCGGGCCATATTGTAGCACTATTTTTAATCTTTTAAGGAACTTATATACTGTTTTCCATAGTGGCTGAACCAATTTACATTCCCGCCAACAGTGCCCAAGGTTCCCTTTTCTCCACACCCTCACCAACACTTGCTATTTCTTGTCTTTTTGTTGGCAGCCGTTCTAACAGGTGTGAAGTGCTATCTCACCGTGTTTTTTATTTGCATTTCCCTGATGATTAGTGATGTCAAGCATCTTTTCACGTACCTCTTGGCCATTTGTATGTCTTCTTTGGAAAAATATCTATTCAGTTCCTCTGCCTATTTTTTAATTGGGTTGTTTGTTTTTTTGTGACATATCTTATGATCTATCCTGGTGGATGTTCCATGTGCACTTGAGAAGAATTTCTATTCTGCAGCTGTTGAATGGAATGTTCTGTACATGTCTGTTAGGTCCATTTGTTCTAAAGTATAGTTCATGTCCAATGTCTTCTTGTTGATTTTGTCCAGATGATCTATCCGTTGTTGAAAGTGGAGTACTGAAGTTCCCTACTACTATTGTATTGTTGTCCATTTCTCTCTTCAGATCTGTTAGTATTTGCTAAATGTATTTGGGAATCTGATGTTGGGTGCATACATATCTCTGTCCGATCATTATATCTTCTTGATGAATTGATCCCTTTATCATTATGTAATACCACCTTCATCTCTAGTTAACTCTTTTGACTTAAAATCTATCTTGTCTGCTATAATTACCTCCGCTCTCCCTGGTTTTCCCTTTGCAGGAAATATCTTTTGCCATACTTTCATTTTAAGCCTATGTGTGTCCTTAAAATTGAAATGAGTCTTTTGTAGGCAGTACATAGTTGTGTCCCATTATTTTTATCTATCTAACCACTCTATGTTTTATGATCAAAGAATTAAATCTATTTACATTTATTGTAATTATTGATAGATAAGGATTTACTAATGCCATCTTATTCATCGCATTCGCTGTTTTTCAGTTCCCTTCTTCCTTTCTTCCTCTCTTGGTGTCTTCTTTTCATGATTTTCTGCACTGATGATGATTTTCTGTAGTGGTATGCTTTGATTCCCTTCTTTTTATCTTTTGTGAATCTACTGTAGGTTTCTGCTTTGTGGTTACCTTGAGACTTACATAAAACATCTTATAGATATAATAGTCTATTTTATGCTAACAATTTCAATCATATACAAAAACTCTAACCTTTTAATCTTCTCTTTTATGTTTTTTGATGTCATAATTTATCTCTTTTTATATTGTGTATTCATTAAAAATTATTGTAGCTACATTTATTTTAAATAATCTTGTTCTTTAAACTTTATACCAGAGTTAAGCAGTTAACACTTCACCATATTACAGTATTAGAGTATTCTGAATTTGATTATATACTTACCTTTACCAGTGTGTTGTATATTTTCATTTGTTTTTATGTTGCTAATTAGCATTCTTCCATTTCAGCTGGAAGAATTCCTTTCAGCATTTCTTGTAAGGTAGGTCTGGTGGTGATGAATTTCCATAGCTCTTGTTTGTCTGGGAAAGTTTTATCTCTCCCTCATTTCTGAAGGACAGCTTTGCTGCATAAAGTATTCTTGGTTGGCAGGTTTTTTCTTCCAGCACTTTGAATATATCATCCCACTTTACTCCTCTGTAAAGTTTCTCTGAGAAATTAGCTGATATCATTATGGATATTCTCTTGTAAGTTACAAGCTTCTCTCCTCTTGCTGCTTTTAAGATTCTTTGATTTTTGATGGTTTTAGTATGATGTGTCTTGAAGAGACTCTGTTTAAGTTTATTTTGTTTGGTGACCTCTGAGCTTCATTTACCTTGGATATTCAAATATCCCTGTGAAGTTCTCAGCCATTATTTCTTTTTCCCTTTTTTTGATGAGGAAGATTAGCCCTGAGCTAACATTCATTGCCAATCTTCCTCTTTTTTTGCTTGAGGAAGATTAACCGAGTTAACATCTATGCCAGTCTTCCTCTATTTCGTATGTGGGATGCATCCAAGCATTGGCCATCATATCTTTAAATAAACTTTCTGCCCCCTTCTCCCTCTCCTCTCTTTCTGGAACACCAATGATTCTCAAATTGGTCCTTTTGAGGGTCTCATAAATAAAGTAGGCTTTCTTCATTCTTTCTCATTCTTTTTCCTTTGTTCTCCTCTGACTGGATAATTTCAAAATTCTCATCTTCAATCTCACTGATTCTTTCAACTGCTTGATTAAGTCTGATGTTAATGCTCTCTACTGTATTTTTCACTTCATTCATTGTATTCTTCAGCTCCAGAATCCATTTGGTTCTTTTTTATGACATCTATCTCTTTGTTAAACTTCTCATTTTGTTCATGTATTGTTTCCTGATTTTGCTGAATTTTCTTTGTGTTTTTTTGTAGTTCATTGAAGTTTCCTTAAAAACAGCCACAGTAGTCTCTCCTTATCTGCAGGGGGATACATTCCACAACCCTTAGTGGATGCCTGAAATTGCAGACAGTACTGAACCCTATAAATACTATGTTTTTTCCTATACACACATATCTATGATAAAGTTTAATTTGTAAATCAGGTACAGTAAGAGATTAACAAAAACTAATAATAAAATAGAACAGCTATAACAATATGATATAATCAAAGTTACCATAGATCTTAGCAACCTCAGCATATGATTTCTTTTTTTTTTCTTATTGAGAACTTTTGCCTTTTTACTTAAAGGAAGCACTTTACAGCTTCTCTTCGGCATATCCAAATTGCCAGCATCACTACTCTTGCACTTTGTGATCATTATTATTGCCTGAACATAAGCGCTGTCATACCATAACAGTCCACCTGATAACTGAGACGGCTACTAAGTGACTAACAGGTGGGTAGTGTATACAGTGTGGATATCCCAGACAAAGGGATGATTCACGTCTCAGGCAGGATGGACCAAGATGGTGCAAGATTTTATCATGCTACTCCCAATGGCATGCAATTTAAA